TGAAATATCCTGTCCAGTTTTGATATAAAGGATATGCTGCTTCATAAAAATCCTCCAGAAGATTTATATAAAGCTGGTATTAGTTCTTCCTTAAATGTTTAGAAGAATTTACTGGTAAAATCACCTAGACTTAAGGTTTTATTAGTTTGCTTTATGCAAAGATTATTAAAATTCCTAATTTAATTTATGTGATTATGGGAAATTTGGATTTTTTATTTCTTCTTGTGTCTGCTTTTATATATTATGTTTAAGGAATTGACATATTTTAACTAAACTATCAAAATTACTTTTGTACATCGTGTCCTCTGAATAGAGTTTTTAACTCCTGAGTCTGTAAAGAGGTTCTGTTTTTGATGCCTGACATTGGTGATTTGCATCCCCTTATCCCCCAGTCACGCTTGCCAAAAGTTTGTCAATTTCATTAGTTTCTTCAGAATCAAAATTTGGCTTTGTTGATGTTTTTAATGTAATGTTCATTTTTTATTTCATTGAGTTTTACTGTGTATTATCTCTATCTACTTTCTTTGAGTTTGTTATTTTTTTAACATCTTGAAAGAGAGTTTGGCCTCCCTCTTCTCTAATGTATACATTTAAGGTCATAGGTTTTCTCTAAGCACTTACTTTACTTCATGGTACCTCACCCACTTATTTAGCTGTGATAGGTGACCTTTTTATTATTATCCAATTTAAAATACTTTCTGATTCTTACTAGATTTCTTCTTTGACCTTGGGTCATTTAGATTAATTTCTAAAACACTTAAGGATTTTCTAGTTATCTTTTTCTTATTGGTTTTTGTTTAATTTCACTGCAGTCAGAGAACATACAGATATGACTGAATTTCTTTGAAATTTGTTGGAACTTGCTTTTAAAGCCCGGTGTATAGTCTGTTCGGGTAAATGTTCCATGTGCACTTGGAAAGCTTATGTACTCTTCAGCTACTGAGACGGGTGTTCTGTAAACGTTGATTAGGTCAAGTTGCTACTCATGTCATCCAAATTCATCTCTCTGTTGACGGTTTGCCTGCTCTTCTATCAGTTACTGACAGGTATATTCAAATCTCCCACCGTGATTGTGCGTATTCTTTTTAACCTCTTAGTTCTGCCAGTTTTGCTTTATATATTTTAAAGTTATGTTTTTAGGTACATACAGATTTAGAATTGATATCTTCTTACCAGGGTAACAGCTTTTTAAATTATGAAATATCCATCTTTGTCTCTGGTCATATTTAAAGTTTACTTTGTATGATACAGTTTACCTACACCAGCTCCCTTTGGCCTATACCATGATATATATTTTTCTATCATTTTGCTATCAACCTCTCCATGTCTTTATATTTGTATAAAGATTTATATATAGATTTATAAGCAACATCAAGTTGGCTTTTGAACCCTGTCTGATAGTGTTGGTCCTTTCACTGAAATGTCTTGTCCCCTTGTAGGGCATGTACTCCACTGCCTTACACTCCAGGTCTGTCTCATCACTTCTTCCTTATCTCCTTTCCTGCTTCTTCTGGATTAATCAAATATCGATACTATTTCATTTTTATTCTCTGTTAACTTGGCACTTTTACATAGTTCCATTATTCTATCAGTGGTTGACACCCTGACTCATTAGGGTCGACCTCAGATTAGCACTTCTACCATTTCCCTACAGCCCGAGGTACTCACAGCTGTGTGACCCCATCCGTACCGTCTGCCTTTTATGCTATTTTTATCATGGGTTTCTGCTCTGCATATACAGATGCAGGTATGTATACAGTTTTTAAGTGCATGCAGATTTAGGGTTGATACCTTTCTCCCGAACCGACCATTGTTTAAAATTATGAAATATCCCTCTTTGTCTCTAGTAATGTTTAAACCTCATGAAGCATTACCATTTCAGTCAATACAAATTGAAACTTTCTCATAAATCTGTCCTTTTATGTGTTCTTAACTCCTTCCTGTATTCCCATGCTGCCTTCTGGGATCATTTTTCTCTGCCTGTCCCCTGAATCATTCTTCCAATGCAGTTTTCCTAGCAGTGAATTCTCTTGGTTTTGGTTTCAGCTTCTTTTTTTTTATTGTGGTAAAATATACATAACATAAAATATAGCATCTTAACCATTCTTTTGCACAGCTCAGGGGCACTGAGCACATTCACATGTTGTGCAGCCGTCCCCACCTTCTGTCTCCAGAACCTTTTCATCTTGTGAAACTGAAGCTCTGTCCCCATGAAACACCAACTCCCCGTCTGCCTCCCCAGCCCCTGGCTCCCACCACCCTGCCGTCTGTCCCTATGAATCTGACTCCTCTAGGGATCTCATCTGAGTAGAATCCTACAGGATTTGCTTACTTCAATTTCTTCTTCATCTTTAAGTGTATATTTGATGGGTCTAGGATGCTAAGTTGGTAGTAATTTTCCTTGAGCACTTTAAAGATGGCACCTGGCAGGGCACCTGGGTGGCTCACTCTGTTAAGCATCTGCCTTCAGCTCAGGTCATGATCTCAGGGTCCTGGGATCGAGCCCCTCATCGGGCTCTCTGCTCAACAGAGAGCCTGCTTCTCCCTCTTCCTTTGCCCCTCCCCCTGCTCATGCTTTCTCTCTCTCTCACTCTCTATCTCAAATAAATAAGTAAAATCTTAAAAAAAGATGTCACTTGGCTTTTATCGTTTCTGTTGAAAAGCCAGTCATCAGGATAATGTGTCATTGTCCCCATCCTCTTCTTCACTGCTTCTGTGACATTCCCCGTGCCTTTGGTCTCAGCGGTGTTACTCTGATAAGCCTGGGGATCCAAAGAGCTGCTTGCATCTGCAGCCTGATGTCTTCCATCATTTTTGGAAAATTCTCAGCCACTGAGTCTCCCTTTTGTCTCCTTTCCTTCTGGGATTCCACATGTGTAGGAATCCTATCTCCCACATCTTGCATTTTTTCAGTATGTTTAATTCTATTTTGTCTCCATGCCCCCACCTGGCAATTCCCTTTCAGTTCACACGCATTCCTTTCTTGTGCATCTCCTCTGCTATCAAATTCATCTGCTACATTCTTAATTTCCAGTATCGTCCTTTCTGTTCTAGAATTTCCATTTTATTATTTTTAATACAGATTTTATTTCTTGGGTGACATACTCCATCTATCTTCTTGAACCAATTAATCATGGTTATTTTAAAGTCTTTATCTAAAAGCTCTGAAGCAAACCACAGCCATCTGTTCACTCGTGAGCCGGTGGGTCAGCATTTTGGGCTGCTCATCTGGGTGGTCTCCCCTGGGTTCATCCAAGCAGCAGCTCGGCAGGACCGGGTGGTCTCAGCTCTCCTCCACGTTGCTCTTCCAGCAGCCTGGCTCACACACATCCATGTGGCTGCAGCATTCTGACAGGACAACAGTGGGAGCTACGAGGGCTCTTGAGAACATGGTCCACTTCCGCCATGATGAAAACGGACCCCACCTCTTACTCGGGGGAACTGCAAAAGATCTGCACCCATCTTTGATGCACACCAGGCTGCCCTCGGGCCATAACTTTTTACATTCCTCCCAGCGCAAAATTCACTTACCCCTCCAGGACACCTCAGAGTGTCCTCCAATTAATGACGGCATCATGCTCTAGGTCCAGCATCTTAGGATCTGCCATTTTTTTCCATCATCTGCCCAGTGCCCTGTCTCCAAACCAGCACCATATGTTTGAGGATCTTGATATGACTGGGCCCCATGTGGGGCTCCTAATTTCTTTATCTGCAATCTATCACCGCCTAGTAAACCACACCTAAATGTGGTGGCTCAGGACCACAACTCGTTTTCTTGCTCACGATTCTGTGGGTCAGCAGTTTGGGGTCAGCTCCGTGGGGAGGTTGTTGTGCTGGATTTGGGTGCGCGTTCATGCAGATACAGTCATCTGGAGGCCGACTGGGGCTGAATGGTCAGAGACGGCCTTACTCCCATGTCTGTTCCCTGATACTGACTCTTGACTGGCGTGCCTCTCCAGCCACCCAGCTCAGTCTGGTTCACGTGGCCACATTCCAAGAGCACATCAGTCACACACGGTGTGACTTCCCAGCATTCTTTTCGTCAGAGCAAGTGTCAATGTCAGCCCAAATTCAAGTAGTGAGAAAACCAACTCTATCTCCTGACAGAGGAGCTACAAGCATTTGGGCCACTGAATCTGCCACACCTCAAGATCTGTTTCTGTGGTCTATTTTTTCCCTTGGCTTTCAGGTTTTTCAGTATAAAAATATGTAAAGGCTCCATGATATTATCTCCCTACACATAATTTGGTTTTCCTCCAGCATATAAAAGGTGCAGGGCAGAGCACTGTTCCTGGCAGAGGGTTGGTCACATGCAGTCTTGGTGGCCAAAGCCCCAACGCCTCCATGTGGGTGTAGTTCCTTCCAGACTTTTTTCTACGCACGTCATCAGTCATGTTTCCTTTTTTGGTGTTTCTAGAAAGATCTTTGTTTCTAGAAGGATCTAGGTTTCTAGAAGGCACTTGAGAGGGGAAACAATGCAACCTCCTGACAGAGTGACTCAGGTAGTAAATATCTGGCTAATTTGTCCTATAGCCCCTACATTTTCCAAGTGTGTGCCCGTGTGTGGGGACATAGAATGTTCCAGCTGAAAGGGGCCTTGGGCGCCTTCTGTTTGCACTCCCTCCCCATTATACTGGTGAGGAGCCTGAGGCCCAAGGGTGCAAAGAAGCTTCCATGGTTCTTCTGTGCATCAGAGGCACAGCCCGTGTGAACCCAGGACACTGACTCCCGCACCATTTCCAAGCAACGGGCAAGGCAAGAGTCCCTCTGGGATCATCCCGCTAATTAAAAATCTCTTGCCTCTGGCCTGCCCTTCTCCCCCACCAATATGGAGCCTTGAAGTCCTCCATCCCATGGGGTTGGACATTCTCCGTGTCTCTGGAAGGGCCCGGCCCGCATGCAGCGGGAGACACTTGGGAAGGCGCCAAGCGTCTGAAAGTGCTGGGCACGGGATGACGGTCACAGGGGGCCACTCACACCTCCTCCATTCTCCACCGCAGGCTGCGGGAGCACCACCGGGCCACCATCAAGGTCATTCGGCGCATGCAGTACTTTGTAGCCAAGAAGAAATTCCAGGTGAGTCCTACACTAAGCCCTTCTGCCCTGGGCCAGGTGCGAGAGCTCCTCTCCCACCCATGGCAAAGCCTACAAGGCCTCCATACCTTGCCACACCCTAGACCTGACCCTTCACTCACCAAATACCCTGAAACGACTTCATTGTTTGTCTCTAAGACAGCACGCCCCTGGAAGGACCCTGCCCCGAGGTCCAGCCTAAAGCTGCATGCACGCAGAGCCTCAGGGACTCAGCCTTCTCTCCCCTAATTGACTGGCAGATGATTCGGGAGTGACAAAGAGGGCACCAAGCCTGCCCCACATCACCTGGGCAGAAAGTGGGGTCCCCTCGACTCCAGAGCCCTGTCCCCTGGAGTCAATGCTCTTGGCGCTGTTCTCCCCCCACACCCAATGGGAGTCAGGAGAACAGAAGGGTAGCCTGGCCCTGCCTGTGCCCCAGGGGGTGGCCCCCCCTTTACAGGGAGAGGGAAGGGCTCCTCCATTGGTGGGGCTGGAGCCAGAGGGTTGCCCTTCCCCATCCCCTTCCCTCTAGGGCCGGGTCTTCTGCAGCCGCCCCTTGGAGCCCTTGGAGCCAAAGGGCCCCAGAGAAAGCCAGCTGGTAGCAGGCTCAGCTCCTTCCTTCTGCTGTGGGGACAGTCCTTGGTCTGAGGAGGTCCCTGGCTCAGCCTTCACTCTGAGAGCATGTGGAATTCAGAAATGGGGACCCTCAGGGGTGTCCATTCTCCTTCCAGAAGGCCTGGCCACCGTGCTCCTCCCTCTGACAAGCGCCGTGTGCAGCCCTCGGGGCTCAGCAGCTGGCCACCGTCTCAGGGGTGGCTCGCACACACAGTCCCTCGGTGGTACTCTGCTGCCCGCCTGCCTGATGCCTCCGGGCAGGGAGGCCATTCACTGCCAAACTGGGACAAATTGTGCCGAGGGTCCCACCAGGGCCTGGGACTTCTCATTGCCCAAACACATGAGGCACGGTAAATGCCATTCTTGGCTGGCACCCGGAGGTCCCCCTGATGGTATCCTGGGGAAGACGTGATGGCCCCAGAGATCTAGAGTATCTGAAGTCCATGGCCTGCCTTCCCAGAGGCAGAGGGGCAGCTTGGAAGGGCAGGGAGCTGAAGGGGCACTGGAAGAGGAGGGGCCCACCTCCTGGCAGCACCAGCACCTTCCTGGTGGGGAAGGGGCTGCAAGAAGCCCCTGCAGGGGTCCACTCTGGGCAGCATGGGGGAGGCCCTGGGAAGGGCCAGGATGTAGTACCCTCACTGGCCAGCAGCCTAGCAGTGACAACTAAAACCCCAGACATCAACCTGGTAGAGCAGGGGGAGGGATTCAGGAGGGGGGGTCAGTGTGGAACCTTCTAGAATGGGGATGGCCCCCACCCGAGAAGCCTGGCCACTGAGGCTCCAGAGCAGGGCCCTGCAAGGCAGCCTAGAACCCACTGCCCGAGGCGCAACGGGAACTGGGGGGCTGTGCCAGGGTGGGCAGTGGGCTTGCCGGGTTTAGGGGCACCCAGCACAGTAGGCAGAAACTTGAGGCTTCTGGCAGGCCCAGTTCAGGGGTCACGTGGGCAGCTTCCAGCTCAGGACAGAGTTTGTCCTTGGCAGATGGGTACCCACCATGGCTGGAGCTGACTTGGGGAGCACCCTGTCCCCGAAATGCAGGCAAGAAAACTGCCCGTGGGCATCAGCAGGGGCCCCGTACTTCCTTCCAGGCTGGGAGTTCCCTTTCCTGCTGCCGGACACAGGCCAGGGCCCTGCAAGTGGTCCCCCAGAGGCAGGCTGGGCAACCCTACCTTCCCTGCTTTCTGCCCCACCCTGTGCCCAGGACCCTTGGGGCCCCTGAAAAAAGCAGGTGGGGCCCTTTGAATGGAGACGCTCCTGAGAGCCTCCCCGTTTGCCCTGGTGGGGTACAGAGGCTCTCGAGCAAAGCGGGGGCCTGGGGCGGCCTCAGCCTCACCAGCTGGCCCTTGTTGCCACAGGGAGGAGGGACCCACGGGGGGAGCGGCTGTGGCGGGGGGCGCCTGGCAGTGAAGAGCTCTGCGGGCTGCAGGGCAGCCTCCACCCCAGGCCCAGCTGTCAGGGATGTCTTCCCTTCCCCCATAGCAGCCTGTTTGTCTGTCTGCATGCACCCCGCCCCCGCCCCGGGCCTCAGGGGCTGCAGACGTGGCGGGTGGCCCTCCGCCCCCCCCCCCGCCCCCCTGCCTCACTGCCTGGCCGATAAGTGCCCGGCGGGCCGCCCCTGTGTCTGGCCGGAGGAGCCAGAGGCTCTTAGCCCTTCGAGTTTGCCTTGAACTCCCATGTCCACCGTCGGTCCCTCTGGACAGCCCTGCATTATCTCGGCTCATCTCAGGCTCCTGCTGCTGCCGCCAGAGGAAATGAGCTCTGGAGAGAACGAGCGGAGATGGTTTCTCCAGCGGGGCCCCAGGCCGCCCCTGACAGAGGCCTCCAGGAGTGCGGACCAGACCCGGGGGGACTAGCGGCTCCAAGATAAGTCTCAGGGCGCCTGGGGCCCCGCCGGGACATGGGTCCTGGGGGTCAGCCAGGCGGCACTGACCCTTCTGTGGCCTGGGATCTGAGCCCCCCTGCCCCCCAGAGCCGAGTCCAGCTGCCAACCCTCTCCTGCGGACACACCCTCGGGCACGTGCTCATACTCTCCCCCTGTCTCTCTCACACTCTCTCTCAGGCCTTCCCAGAGACACACATGTGCACCCACACAAGCTCCTGACACACTCAGGTGCCCACATTCACCTACAGGCAATGGCCCATGCTCTCCAGCCTGTCTGGGAGCCCAGCCCAGCGCTGTGCTCCACCCCGCCCCAGGCCAGGCCCGCACCCCCAGAGCTCTGAACGCAGCCCGCGCCCTGGCCCAGACCTCACTGGCGTGCCTGCAAGAGCCTCAGGCCTCACAGAGCCCTGTGGCCCTCGGGAGGCTGACTGCCAGGACCCAGGGCCACCTTCTGTGTGCGCACTGAGGAGGAGCACAGACTCTTACAAAGGGAGGGGTGGGGCTCAGCACCCCATCTTACAGAAGGGAGGGCCGGGGCTCAGCACCCCATCTTACAGAAGGGAGGGGGGCTCAGCACCCCATCTTACAGAAGGAAAAACTAAGATCTGGGGTCATTATCGTTAGCCTGTACCTAAGTGTTGCTCTTATGACTGTCATTCAGCTGAGCGGGGAGGGGGGGGGGGGGGCAGAGGGTCCGCCTAGAATCCTCTCCCATGCCTGCCCCTATGATCTCATGACAGCCCTGGATGTAGCCCACAAGATGATGCAGGTGGTTCTGGAGCCCAGCATGGGCCCCAAGGGTGGCAAGTCCTATCAGGGACACAGCTGTGCTTTGGGGAAGATCAGGTCAATCCCAGCCCTCCCCCACCAACCTCAGGGGCCTGATTTGGGGCCCAGAGAGGGGTTGTGTGTTGCCTGTGAGGGCCGAGGGCCCCACCTGGTAGGTCATGTGGGAGGACAGGGACCCCCTGGACTTCTGGGTTCCAGGCCCTGGGAGGAAGAAGGCCTCTGCCTTGGAATTCTGAGTCCAGAATCCTAGCAGGGCCACCGCCAGAACACTGCCGAGCTGCCCATGTGGATGGCAGAGCCCCTGGGCACATCAGAAGTGCAACCCAGGACCTGAAGAAGGTGTCCTCCGGGGTAGCCCATGTTTCTGGGAAAGCAGGGCTGGCCATGCCATCAGATTAGGGGAGCCCCAGTCTCAGGGGGAGGGGGGCACCGCAAGAAGGGGTAGGTCTCTGCTGGGCAGGGAGGACATGTCCCCAGGGTCCCCCGGGGAGGAGACCCGGCCCAGACCCTCAGTGGGTCTCTGAATCTCGTTCCTCGTGGCCTCTGCCCCGGGCCAGCCTCCTCCACCAAGCTATCTGGCTTGCCTCCGGGGCTTTGCCCTCCCCAGCAAGAGGCAGTAACCCCAGGCTCATGGTTAATGTGGACTCCAGTGCTGATGAGCCCCTGGGCCCCACCCGACCAGGCGTCCCCGTGGCCCCTTGGATGGAGGGGTTGTGTTCCCACGCACCAGTGCCTGGCTTGTGTGGGTGAAGGGCCTTCTGGGCCATCAACCCCCCCACTCAGCCGGCCTGCCGCTACCTGGGGGAGACCCTCTGCCCACGGGCTCCTGGGAACGGGGCCATAAATATGGCTTGAGGTTTTGCCGACATCATGAGACGGCTCATTCTCTCTGTTGTGGTTTCTGGTGATTTCACCTGAGCCGCATATGCATTCATGGGCTCAGAGCTGGTGCCAAGCTGAGGTGCCGTGAGGTCAGCTGCCCTGCCCTGCCCCAGGCCTGCTGTGGGAGCATCCCCTCTGCTCTGGCAGCCTCGGAGCCCCAGCAGGCAGCCTGTCGCGGAGAGCGGGCACGACAGGCGGGGCTGTCACCCAGGGCCACCTCTGCAGGCTCTCCCCCACCCAGAGAGCCTTGCGAGTGTCAGGGCTCAGCTTGGGGCCGGGAAGACAGTGGTTGCACAAAGCTGGGCCCCTCCTGGCCCAGCAGGTGGATGGGTTCTTCCCAAAAACAGGGGCTGGTAACCTGCAACGGGGAAGCAGGCAGGGGCCCTGCAGTGAGTGGGCAGGAAGCAAAGGCCCAGAGAGGCCAAGTCGCCAGCCTGGGATCCCCAAGCCCCAGAGACCAAGGCCTGGGGGTGAGGGGGCCCCTGCGTGTGCCCTGGGCCAGGACGGCCCTGTTGCACCACAGGGGTGATCTCCTTAAGTCCCTGAGAGGTCCCCTGCAGGCGGGCAGCGCTGGGCCGACAGGGCGCGGCACAGGGAGTGACCGTCTTTGTGGCCTGCAGCAAGCGCGGAAACCCTACGACGTGCGGGACGTCATCGAGCAATACTCCCAGGGCCACCTCAACCTCATGGTGCGCATCAAAGAGCTGCAGAGAAGGTGGGCATGGGCACCAGGGGCGATCTACAAGGACAGGGGGTGGCTGGGCGGGGATCCCCTACCTTCTCACTCCAGCGGTACCAGCTCGGCAGCCAGCCACCCCCACAGAGCCGCAGGACACCCTGCATGCCCACCTCCTACCACAGCACCCCGGAGCGAGGGAGGCCGGGCCTGCTGCACAGAGTCCCGCCCCCCGGGGCTACACGTCTGAGGCCTCCCTGTCCTGGACCTGGAGCCAGGAACCCTAACCAGTGGGAGATGCCAGCGTCCAGCTTCCGGTGTCCAGCCTGGAGAGCTGTTCCCACGGAAGCAGTGTGGTCCCGGGGCCTACACAGGCTCAGACCAGCTGTACCTCTATGGTGGGCTTGCCTGGGAACCTCACCCCGCTGTGTCCCAGGGTATGGCTGGGACACTGTGCCCGTCCTGACCACAACCAGAGGTCAGGCTGCCCCCTACCATGGCTAACCCACTGTAGCTCTCAGGTCTGTGACCGGGCCTCACCCTGGAAGGGCCATTCTCAGGCCGGTCTCTCTGAGCGTGGCTGAGGTGCCTGGCTTGGGCCTCTTACAAAGCAATGACAGGACCCGGGGCTGTCCTGAGTCCCTGCCCTGCCCAGGGAGGAAGCCTAAGGGACTGCCCAACTACTGCCCCTTGCCTCTGAGCTCCCCACAGTACTATGGGCCTCTGGGGCCCGTGAGGCCCCGTGGCAGGTTCATGGGTGGCAATGGTGGGTGTCCCCAGAAGGGGTGGGTGGCTTGTCGCCCTACTGGGTACCTGGCCTGCCCACCCACTGACGGGCTGGGTGTGTGTGTGGTGCCCGGGCCAAGCATGAGCCGGTGTCCATCTGCCTCCCTCCCTCCCTCCCAGGCTGGACCAGTCTATCGGGAAGCCCTCCCTCTTCATCTCCGTCTCAGGTGGGTTTCCTCATCAAGACTCCCTGCCTCCCCCCACCCTGCACCCACACCCGCCTCTCCCCCTCAGAATGGACCACCAGGGCCTTGGAAGCGCAGGACCGGCCACACGCGCCAGAGGGGGACAGGTGGACCCCGCCCTGGACCAAGTGCCTAGGCATGTGCTTTACAAAGCAATTTTCAGTTAGTGCAGGATCCCTTTAAACAGCAGGCTTTTCTAGGCCCTCAGAGATCTGGTGTGACCACCATGCAGGGTGCGTAGCCAGCCCCGAGGGCCTGAGGGGGCCACCGGCATCAGCAGCAGGGCGGGGGCCGTTCTCCAGCCCTGACCCCTCGTGTTCCCCGGACCAGGCCTACGGCTCCCTCCAGGGAGGACAGGGCCAGGCCAGTTCCTTGGGTCGCCCAACCCAAGTTGCAGTGGGAGCCGCAGCTCAGCGGGGGCTGGATGGCAGGGCAGCTAGGCGAGGCCAGCGTGGCGGGGGCGGGGGTGGGGGTGGGGGGGCACACAGAATGTTCAGGCCCACGTCAGCAATCCGGCAGGATTGTTCCAGACCACCGCAATAAAGCAAGTATCGCGATAAAGTGGGTCGAAAGAATTTCAGGGGCTTCCCAGGGCAGATAAAAGTTAGGGTTACGCCCTAGCGTAGTCCGCTGTGTACAACAGCTCTGCATCTGGAAAAACCGACCAGCAGACCTCACCCAAAAGGACTGTTGCTAATAAGTGCCGGCCGTCACCTGAGCCGCCAATGGGGCTCGTCTCAGATGACGCATCACCACGACAAAGAATAATGAAAATGCTTGAACCATGGCACAAATTACTAAAATGTGGCACAGAGACAGGAAGTGAGCAAATGCTGTTGGGGCAACGGCACCCACAGGCTCACCCACCGCAGGGTCGCCGCAGACCCTCCGCCCCTGCAACACGCAGTATCCACACGGTGCCGTAACGCGGGGTGCGTCTGCACATGCTCACAGCCCCCGCAGGGCCGTCCCCGTCCTTGTGTGCCAGGCTCTCCAAGGCCCTGCGGGGCACCCTGCCCAGCCACCCCCCACGCCTCCCAGGGTTCCCACCATGGAGGTGCTCACAGTGCAGACCTTTGACCCCAGGCCACCCCCCCATCACCCTTCCCTCCAAGCACCCCCACCCTGCCAACACACACTTCCCTGATTTGGGTGCTCCACCCCACAGAGAAGAGCAAGGACCGCGGCAGCAACACCATCGGGGCCCGCCTGAACCGCGTGGAAGACAAGGTAGGCGCGGGAGTCCCGGGCCACGCGGGCTCTGATGACGGTCCTGGTCCTTGGGGCGGCGCCCACAGCAGCCCTTCACTCTCCCACCTGTGTCCCAAACCCGTGTGCGGGCCTCCCTGCCCCCCGGCCTGTGCTCAGGGCGTTTCATATGGGTCTCCCTGAGCTGGGGTTCATGTCCACTCCCCCACACGAAGCGGGCATCAGTCCCCTGGGACCTGGTTTGTAGGACCTCTGGCATGCGGCATCCTTACTGACAAGTGGGGCCAGGTGCCCCCAGGCCCCTCTCGGGAGTAGCTGAGGCCGCCCAGGGCACGATGGGGTGGGCAGTGCCGTCTACACCGCCGCCGTGTGGGCTCAGAGAGGTCAGAGGTGCTGAGAGTAGCACAGGGTGCGTCGGGGTGCGTCGGCGGGGAGCTGGGGCTGCGGGCTCAAGGACCCTCCACGGTAGGGTGCAGACCGTGCTGGGAGGGGTTCCGTGCTGGCCAAGGCCCCGCTCGGTATCCAGGTGGGACGCGGGGCCTGTGGGTCTTCCTCTGCCGTGAAGCCCATGCTCCCTCTGCTCAAGCACGGGCCCCTCAGCGGGCACCTCGGCCACCGGGATGCCTCCATGTCTCCGGCAGGCTTGTGGGCCTCTCAGCGTGGGAGCCTCCTCCCGGGGTGTCCTGGGGGGCCGAGGGAGCCTTTCTCAGGCTCAGGCCCACTCTGTGAAGTGTCCGTGGTTTGGAGGGGGCCGTTATCTTGCCCGACAGCTCGTCGGTCTACACGGGCTTTATCTGAAAGTAGCTGGGAGACTAAAAATAGAGGGATTTTGTTGGGCAGGGCCTGTGTCTGCTGCTCGGTTTCCTTGGCAACCCCGGGCTCTGGCCCACTTCCATCCCCGCTGAAGCTGGGCAGGCAGGGCAGGGGCACAGCTCCCTGTCCCCACCCCACCCCGGGCCCCGGCCTGCAGCATCACCCCCTCCCCACCTGCATCATCTGCCCTGACCTTTGCTGGCCGTGGGGCCATGACGCCGGATGGACCCAGATAGAGAGAGGGAGAACCACTATCCAGGTGCCCACAGGGGCCCTCACTTTGGGCCTAGCCAGCTGAGACTGTGTGACCCCCAACATGTGGCCTGCTAGGGGGCCTGGCCCCCCGGGCAGTGCAGGCCCCAGCCAGGCAGGTACCTGGCCTGCTCTCAGGCAGATGGCCCAGTGGCAGATGGCCCTATCCGGCAGGATGTGAGCAGGAGAGGTCACATCAGCAGGCGACAGGTATCAGAGGCCTGGGGATCCTCCACTGAACAAGGGTATCCTCAGCACGCGCTCTTCTCGGGGCCAGGGGCTGGGGGCTGGCATAACCCGCTAGGAACTGCTGGTGGCCCACCCCAGTACAGCAGGCCAGGCACCCTGTGGGGGGGCTTCTAGACATCAGAGGAAGCCGAGGTAGAGCAGGGAATAGACCCAGGCCCCTCTGTCCAACCTCCTCACCCAGCCCTGGCACCCTGGCCAAGGAGCTTTCGCTGACTGGCCCCCACTGCTGACGGGACTCATGGCGGCCCCTGTGTACACAGGCCTCCCTGCCCCAGCAGCCCTGGGAGTGTCCCCTGCTGCACCAGCTTCTAGATGCGGTCACCTCTCCTTGACCTCCTGCCCTGCTGTTCTAGAGCTTTCTTATGCTCCGCCCACTGCTTCTCAGGGCGGGCCACCCCTTGAAGCTCAGACTAGAGCCTGGTGTCCTCTGGGGGTGACCGTGGGTAGGGGATAGGGTCTCCTGGAGCAGCGCCCCCTCTTGAGGCTAGAGGAACAGACATCCAGCCGCCTGCCCGGGTCTGACCCCCAGGATGGCCTGGTTGGCCACGGTCAGTGTGGGGCCTGCACCGGCCTCCGGGGTAGGGAATTACGTACAGCCCTCATTTCTTCAGATCTGAACAACAAAGGGAAGTATTTTCCGGAGTCCCTGATCCCTGGGGGCAAGGTTTGGGAACAAAGCCCCCGGTGGCCTCGGCCCCCAGGAGAGGGGTGACCGCTGGGCCGTGAGGACTCTGGGACATCCACACGCACGGTGACCGGGGAGACTGGGGTTGTGCCGTCTCCGTCCTCTTCTGCTGTGAGGAACCGGCTCGGTCTGAGAGCCGGACCCACCTGCTTGCGGTCTCCCAGGTGGTGCCCAAGCCCGTGCTCTGTGCCAGATCGCAGCCCCCACGGTCCCTCGAGGGGCTGGCAGGGATGGGCTCAGCCTGCCCCGGCCCTCCTCCGCTGCTGGCCCGGGCCTCCTCAGCGACAGACCCTGGGAAAGGGCCTCGCCAGGTCCAGAGGGCACGGTGGCACGTCCCGGGCCCGTGTTATCACAGTTATCACCAGGGCCATCGGGACCATAAACAACCCCCGAGCAATCCTGCTGACTGAGGGAAGCCGGAGGCAGGAAATCCAGCCGCCCCCGGCCCTCCGGGGCCCAGCAGGTCTGCAGCAGTGCCAGCCGGCCAGAGTCCCCGGGCCGTCCCCGACCCCGCAGGGCTGGCTGCGGGCGGGACAGGAGACCGGCCCTCACACTGGGAGGCAGGGCTCTGGCCCAGCTATGATGGAGCTCCCATCCCAGGCACGCTCACTCAGCTGCAGGACACGGGCTTGGAGAAGGGGGGGAAGGACATTTGGGGAGCACAGCCGCTGGTCCCCATTCTCGGGAGCAGATCAGTTCTGAGAGCAGGGGGCTGGGCTGTCCACTTGCAGGGAGCTACCAGGGAAAGCTAGCTCGGCTTGTCCAGTGGTGCCTCGGTTTCCCTGCAAGGAGCCCCCTTCCCTTATGTCCAGGCCAAGGGCCACAAGGGGGAGAAGGGTCCCAGGCACTTCCTGCTCGCGGGAGCCCTTGTCACAGCTCCTGCCTGCCAGAGGGCTTCCCCCCACCTCAGAGTGCCCCGCCCGCCTGTTCCTGGGGTGCCTAGCGCCCCTGTCCCTGGTCTGGCTCAGCCGGGCTGTGGAGGCCCGCCTCGCTCCAAGGCTGTGAAGAGCAAAACTGGCATTCCCGCCCCACAGCCTCCCCCACACAGTTGGGAACCTGCTCCCCGTGTCTCAGGCCGGCTCCCCACCGGCCTCCCTTTAGCAGTGAAAGGAAAAGGCATGAGCAGCTCCTCGCCAGCTTCTGTTTAAAAATCACCAGAGCCTCCACGTGCTCCTTCCTGTTGTTCTCCTTCTGGGAAGGAAGGACCCTCATTTGCCCAAATAAATCCTTCCTTACGGGTGGGGAAACTGAGCCCCAGAGAGGTTGAGCAGTTGCCCAAGGTCACACAGCGGGTCCGGTGAAGAGCCGGTCCCGGTGGAGGCCACAAATGGGTGGGGGAGCTGAGATGGAGAGACAGAGGAAGCCAGAAAGTGCTTCATAAACACGAAACCTTGAGGGGCCTGTTGGAAAAGAAGCCAGGTAGCAGTGTGGAGGGCCAAGCTGGGGAGCGGGGGTTGGGGAGCAGGCGGTAAGGCCCACGGGCTGCGCTGGCCAGAGCAGCGGCACAGATTAGGACAGAGTGGCCTGGCCAGGCCCTGGAACAGGAGTCCTGAGAACACCGGCCCCTGCCCAGCCCCCGGCCCCTCGAGGGCTGCTCGGGAGGCAGGCGTCCCCTTGGCTCTCTGGGGAGCCGTGGAGAAGACTGCTCCAACCTTCCGCCCCCGTGCGTATTCTTAGCTCAGTCCCCAGGACAGGCTGCAGGGCTGATTGAGCCCTGTTTATTTTGCAAGCTCAGCTCATACTGCTTTTGCTGATATGAGGAGCACAGTGGGCTGGGAGGATTTCTTTCTTCTCTGTTTTTGCCGGAAATGTTCATGGCTTAGAGCCGGACACAGGGAAGGCCTGGGTTTGCAGGCCCCAGCTCAGAGGGCGTGGGTGGGAAGGGGCCCCCACCCCCACCATCTGCTTCCTCAGGCTCCTTCCACAGCCTCCTCTCCTAGAACCCTGGCCAGACACACCTTTCTCCTGGACCCAAATGCCCCCAGCCTGGGAGTACCCCTTCTCCACCAGCACACTGGCCCTGGACCCCTCTGCTGAGCACACGTTTGCCCTCCCCTTGGACCAGACAAGCCCAGTTACCCAGGACCTGCCGTCTGCCCCAGACACAGCTCCTCCTGCTCTGTCCTCAGCCCAGAGGGATTCCTCCATTCCCCCCGCCCACCGCCAGCTACCAGCTGGCCTGAGACCTTGTCATCCCAACAACCCCTCCCCGCTTACCCCCAAGAGCCACCTAGATGCCATTCACCCAGTTCTCCAGCCCCACGGCCTCCCTGCTGGGCCTAGGTGTTGGTCATCTGCCTCTGCAACCATTGTCCAGCCATCCATGTGGACTCCGGCCCCACCAGCCCTTCAAAGTATGCATTATTTCCTAGACACAGCTGAAATCTGCCTGCTAGTGTTTTCTTCAGGGTTTTTGCCTTGCCATCTATGTATGAGATATATACCTAACCTCATTCTCCCCTTCTGTACCATCTTCATCAGGATGTGGTGTCAAATGTACGTGAGGCTCACTGAATGAGTTGGGAAGTGTTCTCTCTTTTTCCACATTCTAGAATATTTTATATGGGATTCGGAATTTTTTTTTCCCCTTTGAATGTTTGGTGAAATTTAAAGGTAAAGCCATCCAGGCCTGGTGCTTTCTTTATGGGAAGACTTCACACTCTGAGTCAAAGACTTGGCGGTTATGGGATGGCAGGTTTTCTATCTCTTCTCGTGTCAGTTTTGTTCAGTTGTACATTCTAGAAATCTGTACATTTCCTCTCAGTTTTCCAATTTACTGCCATTATCATTTTAATGTCCGTATCATCAGTAGCTAAGCACCTTTTTTATTGCCAGTATTATTTATTTGTGCCTTCACTTTTTTCCCCCCCATTGGTCAAGTTTGCCAGCTATTTGCCAATTTTATTAATATTGTCAACAAACTTTTGACTTTATTGATCTTCACTCTTGTAAGTTTTGATTTTGTTTCATTGACCTCTCTTTGTTTTCTTCCTTCTAAATACTTGGCCTCTATTGCTCTTTC